ACAGGCTTACAGGCCAAATCTTTTTCTTTGGTGCACAAAATAAATCATAACAAAATTTCAAATAAATTTTAGGAAACTAAACAGAAACAAATTTCCAATGCTGCTTTCACATTCGAATCTAAAGCCAAATTTCAAAATCAGGCCACGATAAAGGATATAATATAATGCATCCAATCAGGAAATTCTGGTTCTCCGGAAACTTCTTGTTGTAGAACTGCGCAAAAAGTGCAATGACAATGATGATCGTCCCGATCAACAACCGAATGTTACTCATGCTCACATCTTCAGGATACCCCTTGCTCTTCACGATCTACCAACACAATAACCCACCGATAAATCAGAAGAAAAAAACTCCAAAGACTAATTAATCATAAAAGCAAAGTAAAAAACACATAAATGCATATGTATGTATATAAAAAATTGTAGGTACTGACTCACCTCGGTGACAGATTCATCGAGAATGTGTTTGATGGAATGGTGATCCAAAAGATTTGCCTTTTTAGGGTTTTTATTAGAAGCAATTTCACCCTTCTTCGCCTCCATTTCTCTCTCACGCTTCTAGGGTTTTTTGACTGAAAAATGGGTATTCTTTAACTGATACTGATAAGATGGGAGAAGGGGTAAGAGTGTAAGACTTTGGGGATCGGTTGGTTAGGCAATAAAAATAAAAATTGTTGTAAAAAGATTTCTTACAAAGGTCAAGTTGTTGTCATACTTTTGTTGTCGCTCCAATAATATTTTGACATCTCATAAAAAATTTGAGGTGTCAATATTTTAATGGTTACATCAAAAAAATGTTGTGAGGTTTTAGAATGAGCCGTGCTATAGCAATCGGTCCCCTGACATAACGGCTGACAGAAGACACACAACACAAATAGGGGGGTCGAAATTTTTTTATTCCATGCGGGACCCACGACTTTGGGAGAGCAGGTCATCCCTTGTGGCAAGGAAATTCGATCACTCCAGCAAAATTCTTTTAGAATAATGTTACCTTGTTTCACTAAAATTATATGAGTCATTTAATTTTATTTATAATTTAATGTCACACTAAAACCACATAAAATGTGGTTTCAATCCCAAGTGACGGTAAATAGCATTACTTGAGGTTTTAACACTTCAAAATTGAAATAGTCTTACTAAATTTAAATGTATTTTTAGACATAGAACAATGTGAGACATTACTAT